GGGGGAGGGGACATTAGAGTGTAAGCTCCTCTGTACAGAGACTGATGTGACTGGGGGGGGGGGAGGGGACATTAGAGTGTAAGCTCCTCTGGTGTAGAAAGTGCTTGGACTGGTTCACATTTTCACTCGTGTTTTCTGACTTTCAGATCTCGGAGACCGGGAAGGAGACTTTGCCGTTGTGGTTACACCGGGACGGTGACGTGTTGGAGGGACTTCCCCTGGAGGGTGATAAAGGGATGTATGAAATTTCTGTGACAACGTTTTTGGTGGCAGAAAATGGAAGTGCCGTACTGCAGGCTACAGACGTCTTCTCCATTGAGGTCCATCCTGAGGACCATAGCGAGCCTCAGTCTGTTCGGGTGACGGGCCAAGAGACCAATGACATCGCACCTTTCCTGTGTGGCCCCGAAGAGCCCATCACTATTCTCACCGTCATTCTGGACGCGGACCTGACAAAAATGACCCCCAAGGACAGAGTGGATGTCCTGAAGAGGATGCGGGACTTCTCTGAGGTAGAACTGTACCAGATGAAGTTGGTCCCTGTTGTAAATAACAGACTCTTTGACATGTCGGCTTTCATGGCCGGGCCCGGCAACGCCAAGAAAGTGGTTGAGAATGGAGCTTTGCTGTCGTGGAAAGTCGGCTGTTCTATGGATCAGAACAGCGTTCCAAACATCAGTTCTGTGGAGGTTCCAGCTAAAGAAGGCACAATGTCTGCCCAACTTGGCTACCCAGTTGTCGGGTGGCACATTGCCAACAAGAAGCTGCACACTCCTAAGCGGCTAAGACGACAGATTTATACTACCCCAACCCCCGTTACCGCCATCGGACCACCGACAAGTGCCGTCCACGAGCCTCCCGTCAGAATCGTTCCAACTCCCACTTCACCTGCCATTGCCCCTCCTACAGATACAACCGCTCCCCCGGTCCGGGAGCCCATTCCGCTCCCCGGAAAGCCCACCATCACAATAAGAACCAGGGGCCCCATTATGCACACTCCAACACTTGGCCCCATCCACCCAACCAAGTTGGAAACAACCAGTGTGTTCCCGGGGCCTATCCGCCCAACGATGACAAGGCCTTCATACATAGAACCAACAGCCGCGGTCACACCTCCTTCTGCCACCACCAAGAAACCACGGGTGACCACCCTGAAACCGGCTACAGATTCTACGACTACCACGACCAAGAAGCCAACCAAAAAACCAAGGCCTCCTAAAACCACCAAAACACCAACGACGAAGGTCGAGACCACTTCCCCAAGCCGCCCCCGCAGCTCTACCAGCGGCATGCCGCGGCCCTTCAACACCGAACCCGAACTCAAAAACCACATTGATAAAGTTGTTGCGTGGGTGGGAACCTATTTCGAAGTGAAGATTCCACCGGACACGTTCTACGATAAGGAAGATGGCACCACCGATAATTTAAGGCTGACGCTGGAGCCCAGAAAGAATGCCAGCCTACGAGACAAGACATGGGTGATCCTCAACAGTGCCAGCCAAGTCATGTACGGCATGCCTGACGCCATCCACGTAGGTGACCACGAGTACTACCTGAAGGCCACAGACAAAGGCGGTCTCACTGCAGTGGACGCTCTAGAGATCCAAGTCCGGAGTTTGTTCAGTAGAGAGCCCTCGCCGGTGAAGTTCAGCGGCAAGTTCCAGGGAGACTACAACTCCGTGGTCAACGATATCAATAAGAAGATCCAGCTGGTGAAGAAGCTCGGCTTGGCCTTTGGTGACCGGAACAGCAGCTCGGTCACCGTGCAGAAAATCAGCAAAGGTTCCATCGTGGTGGACTGGACCAATAACACCATCCCGGTGGAGCCGTGTCCCAAGGAGCAGATCGAGGTCATAGCCAGGAAGATTTACGATGAGAACGGCAAAGTCCGGCCGCATTTCACCGCCGCCCTGGAGCCCGAGTTCAAGCTTGAGAAAATCGACGTGTCCCTCGCCGGCAGCTGCCGAAACTCCCACAGCCATTTCTCCATCCCCCTGACCCCCGAGGAGCGCGTGGTCACCATCGTGGCCCCCACCGTCGCTGCCGACAGAAACCCAGAGAAGAGCAGCGAGGACGATGTGTATCTCCACACCGTGATCCCAGCGGTGGTGGTGGCCGCCATCTTGCTGATCGCCGGCATCATCGCCATGATCTGCTACCGCAAGAAACGGAAAGGCAAGCTGACCATCGAGGACCAGGCCACGTTCATCAAGAAGGGCGTCCCCATCATATTCGCCGACGAACTGGACGACTCCAAGCCGCCTCCCTCCTCCAGCATGCCGCTGATCCTCAAGGAGGAGAAGGCCCCCCTACCACCCCCCGAATACCCAAACCAGAACGTGCCGGAGACCACCCCCCTCAACCAGGACAACTTGGGGGAGTACACACCGCTAAGGGATGAGGACCCTAATGCCCCCCCGTACCAGCCTCCCCCACCTTTCACAGCACCCATGGAGGGCAAAGGCTCGCGCCCCAAGAACATGACCCCCTACCGGTCACCACCCCCTTACGTACCCCCTTAATGAACATGGTCCTCGGAGGAGGGAGAGTCGGGGGCTGGGAGTTCCTGACTGAACTTTGTAGCCTGCAATCTACTGCCCAGACAACGGAGAGCATTGCTGTTATAAGCAACACTGTCCCGAGATTTCTGGGAACTGCCCCTCCCCCATGGGTGGCGGAACGCGTAGGACATCTGCCATTTTCATATCTGTGTTCATCATAAGAGTGTGCGCCCACCCATAGATTGCAGGCACGGGAGACAGCGGACTTCCTCGATACGACGACGGCGTGGCCTTCGAGTTCTCAGCTGTTTTTTGCCTTTAACACTAACTGTACTTTTTGTTTTCCTTCCACGTGTGTCCTGAACCCGAAACAAAGACCCGAAAATACCCACCGACGGGCCCCGGAGCCCACCGACGGGCCCCGGAGCCCACCGACTGGCCCCGGAGCCCACCGACTGGCCGCGGAACCCAGAAACTTACACGTTTTCTATGTTTTTATATCTTTAATCCACAATTATTTTATCTGTCATGTGTGTGAGATGATTAACGGTGCCGCAAAATAAGCTCCGGCGGGGTCCCGCCCCCCCCGGTATGTAAGCGTGTCCATGTGATCGGCTACAGAACCACAAGTCCCAGCAGGCAAGAAGATGGGGTACACCGCTCCCAATCTCTGAATGGGGGGTCACCCTCATGGGAGATCGGGTCCTGTACCCCCCCCAGACTGGAAATAAGCAGCTGCTAACTTTATTGATAAGACAACATGAACAGAGTCCACCTGGGACCTCCTCCGGGGGTGGGGCCTCCATGACTTGGTCCAGCCTTGGGGGTGAAACATGGACCCTCTGTCCATGTTGTCCTGATTAATAAAGTTATCGGTGTTTGAAATGATCTCGGCATACAGCCGGCTCTTCCTGCAGCTTCCCATTGGTCTCCCTAGCTGTGGTGGTTCTCCGCCTCCTGATGATAGGATGGGAAGCTTGCCCCGCCCCCTGGAGTTTATTTTGGGGTAAATCTCGCTTTGATTTTGATCTTCCAGAGATCTGCACCGTGACCTCCCCCCCCCCGTATATAATGTATATCAATC